GACACCTTTACCAAATTTAAAAGGCTAATAACCCTGTTACTAAACTCTAAAGAACTTCACCAACTATTTCTTGAACTCCCGCCTACCAATGAGGCACTTTATTATGGACCGCCCAATATCTAGACGGAACAAGAATATAACGAACTCCATTGTCGTTAGTATGAATATAGCAAAACTAAAGAAAACATGCTTTATCCTTCCCCACTATTTATTGATTTTTAACCATGGCCTTCCGCTCCTAACCCTCATTTTCAGTTTCCGAATCTCTCTAATGGATAAATCCAAATTATTCTTCCTAAATGTCATGTCCTTTTATTTTTCTTATTACAAGTAGACAGATAACTCACTAATCTTATGGATGCTGACAAACTAAGGCCGATCAAAAGAAGCTCAAATGTCCTAAATTCTTGTGAGTTGTTTAATGTTTTATTTTTCTTACCCTGAAAATTTTACAATATTTACTATCATATCCTCTGGTCTGCAATTAGCCCTTACCATCTCTTAACCACATATAATCTGACTTGTCTCTTCTAACCTTTACCATAAGTTATCTTCGTAGTAGTACGATATATTAAATGGATATCTAACCCATAATACAAATGCTATTACCATCTGATTCGCTTGTAACATGGAACTTGTAGAGACAGTGTATTCCAACTATGATCCTTGATTAATGCAATAATCATACTGACCACAAACATAAGAGAGCCTAACATCATAAAAGGAGGGAGGGTGGCGTTACTGACCAGCAAATATGATGGTGGGGAGATAACTTTTTTAGGTTTATTTTCCGATGTTGACGAAGTATCAAGGTGTGTGTCGTTTTTCGTGTGGGGTACTACAGGTGCAGTAGCTGTGTCGTTTACTTGTACCGAACGAAAATCGATGCAGCTAGGTTTTCCTTTTAAGTACGCTGCTTTTAAGCGATCAATACTGATGCTATCGTTCGTGCTGTTCTTACCGACTACAAAGTACTTCGGTTCACGTCGAGGAACTTTGAAGGGTCCTTCGTATGCTGATTCCAGAGGTCGTCGATTTGAGTCTCGACGAACGAAGACGTGTGTACTATGTCGTAAGTCGGGTTGAACGAAAACATCAGTTGATTGAGGTCGAGTGTGAGCAGGTTTAACTAAACGCATCGTGTTTGTAGGCCTGCTCGTGTAAGAGTTTAGATCCATGTTCAATGAAGAAGTCGGAGGATCTACGAATTCACCTGGAAGTCGGAGTGTCGTTCTATAAACGAGTTGAGATGCAATGTATCCAAAGTCAGCTTTCACTGCATTGCGGATACCTAGCAAGACGAGTGGAAGAGCGTCTGTCCACTGTGAAACGTTTGTAGCTGATAGTGAAGCTTTAAGTTATCGATGAAAACGTTCTACCAACCCGTTTGCTTGTGGGCGGTAGTCAGTCAGTCAGTCAGCTACAACGTAGGACCAGGCACATATGTGCATCGGTCCAAGTTGCCATACCTCGTTAGCACAACAAGATGAACACCGGATTCATAGTAGTTAATCTAGTGTTTGTAGTAGTATATAAATTATAGGTTGTATATAAGGATATAGTACAGGAAGGAAAAACGTTATGAAGCAATTTTAGTCTCAATGTTTAAGGGAAGTTAAAGAGTGTATACACCTACGCCATTGTGACCGATTCTGAGCCATGTCACCTAGAGTCTCCAACCATTGGTTACGATAGTCACGCGGACCCCAACCAGGTAGTCTGCATCTGCCAACATGGCTCAGGCTAGAAGTTAGTGACTTCGAACACTGATGCCATGTTTTGGTTTGGCCGCCCCTAACTCTCTTCCAACCATCCCCAATACTAGTCATCATAGCGCATCGAGGTAATCGGTGTTCAGGCATGTGTAACACATGGCCCAACCATCTCAGTCGATGAAGATTCATCACCTCATCAACTGATTTACCATCGTTCCCTAATACCCTGCGTCTAACCTCACTATTACTTATCCGGTTATCCCAGCAGATGCGAGCAATATTTCTAAGGCATCTGTGGTCAAACACTAGTGAACTACGAGAGTCTTCTACTCTTAATGGCCATGTTTCATAGCCGTAAAGTAGAACAGAGCGGTCGTTCAGAAGCGCGTGATTACTAATAGTGATGTCGGACAACGGAAAAGTCCACATTCGAACTGGCGTCCTCGGTCTGTAGTAATGGTTGAAGGGCAGCCGAAATTTTCTACCCATCGTTCGACGAAAGCACGAGCCACAGTTTCAGCAGTAATGTCCTTAACCGGTATTGCTTCTGGCCGTCGAGTGAAACGGTCTACGCATGCTAAGAGATATGAGTGTCCATTTAAATCGGGTAAGGGTCCTACCAATTCCATATGAACATGGTCAAAACGAGCGTCGGGAGTTCTGAAAGAGCCTAATGGACATTTGTTGTGTCTAATTACCTTAGATTTCTGGCAGCCTATACAGGAGCGTGCCCCCTCCCTCACGTCTTTATTCATGCCAGGCCAGCAAAACCGTTCGGCAATAAGCTTGATGGATGCATGAACATCTGGGTGAGAAAGATTGTGCAACGTATTAAAGACATTGAGTCGATAATGTTTAGGTACGACTGGACGATCCCTACCTGTCGATGTGTCGCAAAGTAAGGTTTCCTTACCTGTTCTTATCTGCTTAATACTTAGTTTAAGAGTTGTCGAGGATTACTGGTGCTGAAGATTAATGTCTTCTTTTTGAATCTGAGCGAGTTTTAGAAGGTCGATTCCTTGGAAACTGTCCAAGGAACTTATTCGAGACAAAGCGTCTGCGACTACATTGTTTGCTCCAGAAATGTGTTGTATGTCTGAAGTAAACCGTGAAATGTAGTCCAGTTGTCGAGACTCTCGCGGTGAGTACTTGTCTGAAGATGAACTTAAAGAGAAGGTAAGAGTTTTGTGATCGGTAAAAAGTGTGAATTCTCTTCCTTCGATGGAACATTGGAAATGCCGTACAGCACAATACATAGCTAGGAGTTCCCCACCGAACGTGCTGTACCTAGATTCCGTGTCTAGCAACCGTCTCGAGAAAAACCCTAAAGGTTGCCATGAGTTGTTGACCCATTGTCGTAAAACTCCTCCGATTGCTGAGTCGGATGCGTCTACGGCGAAACTAATGGGCGCTTGAGTGTCTTGATGCGCAAGCAAGGTTGCCTTAGCGATATGTTCCCTAACTGTGGAGAATGCTTTACGGGCTGTGTCGTCTAAAATAATTGATTTTGCATTTCCACGAAGTTGGTCGGTTAATGGTTTCATATGGGACGCGCATTTAGATATGAACCGTCTGTAGAAACTTACGAGGCCGTTTGAAGTTCGTAAATGCTTGATCGTGGTCGGTTCTGAGTAAGCCAGAATGGCCGCCACTTTGCTTCTAAGGGGTCGGATGCCTTGAGCATCAATGGTGTATCCTAAGAAGTCTAAAGAGTTTGTTCCGATTTGGTATTTCTGAATGTTGACAGTAATGCCATGCCTTTGGAGTCGTTCGAAAACAAGGTCCACATGCTGGAGATGTGACTCTCTGTCCGGACTTGCTATGAGGCAGTCATCAACATACGCATGTACGAAGTTGAGACTTCGGAAGACGTTGTCAATGAACCTTTGAAAAGTTTGAGTGGCATTTCTTAGGCCGAAAGGAGTTATAATGACGGTTTTTGGGATGTCGTCGGTTGCCATCGGTATTTGGTTGTAAGCCTTAACCAAGTCGATTTTCGAAAAGACAGTTGTGTCTTTCAAGGTAGCTATTAAATCGTGAATGATAGGCAATGGGTAACGATAGGGAATGGTTTTAGCATTCAGACGCCGATAATCATTAGCTGGACGCTAATCATTGTTGTTCTTTTTAGGGAACATGTGCAAAGTTGATGACCTAGGGCTATTTGATGGTCGAATTATTCTTAGCCTATCATGTGGTCGAATTCGTGTTTAGCCAACCTAAGCTTTTCGGGAGCCAGTCGTCGTGCTTTTGAGAATACAGGTGGTCCTGTAGTCGAGATGTGATGTGTAACATCGCTGGTTACACAAGGCGATTTCGGTTGCGGTTCGTATATCTCGGAGTGTTTGTCGAGTAATGAATGATATAGGGGGTCTATGGTGCGCTTAATCTTGACTGGGGATAATCTGAAACCAGAAAAAAGAGTTACGCAAACAGATAACTTAGTGTTTCCGCCTATTAACCCTCGTGAGCGTGTATCGATGAGTGGATTGTGGTATTGTAACAGGTCTATGCCAGTGACTGGCATAGAGACATCTGCAACAACGAAATTCCAGTGTGTGGGTTTTCGTAAACCCACATCAAGGTAAACGTACCTTTTACCATACGTAGCAATCGGCTTTCCGTTTGCCGTCTGTAAACTTAAAACAGAGTCGCGAAGTCTGTCGTTGGGATTTGCTGGAAGAACGCTAACTTCTGCCCCAGTGTCGACGAGGTAGCGAACATTCGTGGTCACATCGGTGACATATAACAGACAGCTGTGTTCGCCGGCTACGGTTGCCGTTAACTCATGCCGGTTCGAAGGTTTCTCGAGTACTTGTTCGTGTAGGTGGATTTGGAGTTCGGATAATTGCAGGGATTCCTGCAATTTTTGGACTTACCATACTGGTTATGATACCAGCACCAGTCGGGACTTTCTGTCTCGAACTTTCGTAGTCACATCCGTGACGCATAGGAGACGGCTGTGTTCGCCGGCAACGGTTGCCGTTGACGCGTGCTGTCTTGAAAGTTTCCCGAAGTCTTCTTCGTGTCAGTCGCCTTAGAGATCGGGTAATTTCAGGGTTTCCTGCAATTTATAGAAGATTTTCCATACTGGTTATTATAACACACCAGTCGGGATTATCTGTTTCTCGACCACGAGAGACCAGGTAATCGCCTACGTGAGACTGTAGTGGACCAAAATGTATGATAACCAAAAAATAGTAACAAAAATATTACGTCTAAAGTTTATGTAACAATTAACCGTTAATAAGTTAATTACACACAGATAAAAGTAAGGGACGTTACTTAATTCTTCAGGCTATTGCGCGTTCAGTTGACTTCGGTCCCGATAATCCACAATTATAAAAGATTAGTAATCCCAATATGGACGATATGGATCCAGTAGATTTACCAAGCGTAGAATTCAATAAGAATGTCACAATTGTCTATAAACGTAGATGGTATGCAATTAATATTTCATTTAACATATTTGCAGATATAGCAGAGGTATGTTAGAGTGTATTTATTGAGGAGCAGGTACCTTGTCACGATATGTTGTACTCAAAACGGAAGGAAGTCAAAATACAAGTGTTCAAAGTAATACACTTAAACAACAAGTACAATTGTTTAATGCTAAATGTACATGATATGAATATACACAAAATACATGCAAAACCTATGAAAGATTGTTTACAAAATATGTTTAATAGTCCTGTCTCCACATTAGCGCCCCCTCCCAGAGTGTTCGGAGGTAACACTGATTACAATACGAACCACAAAAATTGAGAAATATTGTATATAAATGTACATATAATGGTATTTACTGTAATAACGGAAAAATGGTGGAGATAGGAATAAATGACACGTTAATAATATAGGCTATGCTACACACAATGCAACTGAAAAAACAAGCATTAAAAAGTTTTGGCTTGCTAATAATCCCTCTTTATTACGTCTCACTAATTTTTCACACATTTAGTTTTCCACTTGATCGAATTGTAATTGCACTATCATATCTCTCTCACCCTAACTGAACCATATTTATATTCTGATCACAGATCTTAAATTTTCACTTTACATATATACAGATTCAAGTTGACATTCTATATGAGTCATATCAACATTAACAATTTTATTCTATTTGATTTGACATTCCTAAATTCACATGCTTTAAACGATGTGCTTTGCCTTTAACCTGGCCATTTTTTCGGATTATTAATTTGGATATATAATTGTAGAACCTAAAGAGAATTTATCGAAAAGGATATTCTTCGTTCAAATATTAGTCTCATAAAAAATATAAAAAATTGGATTGTTTTTTGTTTTGTGTACAGTTTAATGAATATTTAGTTAGCGTTCACTCGTTTATTACTATGACAATTTTTCTTATTAAAAAAAATCGGCACAACCAGTTATAATAAATAAATGTAATTATTAAATGTACATGTAAGGAAAGAAGAAGATTGAATAACTTCACAATGTAATGGATATAATTGGATGTTTTTAATTGTGCTAGTCAATAATATGTACATAACGTTTGGGTTTTTTAACAGGTCTACCGGAGCAGGTTAAACAAGGTTTAAGGTTAGATTCATCCTCCTGCTCTGGCTTTTCGACAGAAGATGGATATGGTTGTTTGTCAGCAACGCTGTTTTCGTGGTCTTGGATAGGTTCGTAGAATGCAGGTTTAATTCTATCTACATAAATAGTCTCCCTGTTGCCATTTCTATTAATGACGAAGTGTTTCGGTGCACGTTTAATCACTTTGTATGGGCCTTCATAAGGTTGCTTCAAAGGTTTTTTTACTGTATCGATTCGGACAAAAACAAATTTGCATGTTTCAAGGTGTTTATCAAGTTGTACGCGATAGTTATATTCACGTGGAGATACTGCTTTAGTGTTTTGCATAGTTTGTATTAGTCCACTGGCGATCGTTGCTGCTACCTTGACGTGGTGGTCGGGCTTGCATATCGTGATGAAGCAATCGAGCTATGCTGGCTTGAACGATCGTTTCCTCGAGGTCCTACCATGCCAGACAGGTCGGTTGAAGAGCGGTGAGACTAAAAGCAGCAAACCCAAGGTCCGAAGGCGAAGTCGTACTGCTGACTGTACAGAGGTGTGACAACAGTAAGGTGTTTCCTTCAGACAACCAGCATAACAGCGATGCTGCCTTCACACAAGGAGAGGTGGGGTTAGAAAAGGTCGACCCTAAAAATGCACACCTCACCTTATCCCACGGATATCCGTCTCCGGCGGTAAGGTCCTTTGAAGAACGGAGCTAACACAAAAACTACCCACAAAAAGGTCCTGTGTGACCGACCTCAAGCAGTTGTTCCTTGGGCACTGCGGCCACGCTCTCAGGTCATTAAGACCACTTCTAACCCAATTTCCTTTTCAGGTACCCATAGAAGAACCCTTCCACGGTGTTGGCAACCGGGAAGTGATAACTGTCCTCATACCTCTAACAACACTCAAGACCACTGTTTTCATAATCAATCTCCTTCTTCAAGTCCTACTACCTTGACTTTCAACACTAAACTTCCTCTTCCGGTTTCCTCCTCAAGTGTCACCATGGCCAACGATTCTAGTGCGCGAAAAGCTGTCCCAGGTCTACTAAAACCTCGCTCCAAACTACACATTGGAGCCTTCAACGTACGTACCCTATGCCAAATCGGTCAACAGGCCTCCTTAGCTAAAACCCTAGAATCTCGTACCATTGATGTATGCTGTGTCTCCGAAACACACATACAGGATCCCAGAGTGGTCATTCACTTGACCTCACCTCGCCAAAATGGACAGCCGACGAAATACACCCTCCGTGTATCTGGCGACCCGTTGGCTAGTTCTCGTGGACTTGCAGGTGTAGGCATAGCACTAAGTACAAGGGCAGAACAGGCACTATTAGAATGGATCCCCGTTAACAGTCCCCTGTGTGCTGTGGAAACAGCAGTAACATCTATTAGTCATTTAAACCATAGGGCTCCAAAAAACCAGTGGATTTCTTCTAAGTCTATTTAGCTGATGGATTCGCGTAAACTCATCCCATCAGGCTCTGAACATGACGAAGAGCGTAAACAAATTAGATCTAGGTTAACTAAAAGTCTAAGGAACGATCGTGAGCAGTGGTGGGCAACGAAAGCAAAAGAGATGGAAAAGGCAGCGGCTGTAGGCAACACCAGGCAACAATCCAGACTAATAAAAGAAACCGGAATTAAGAAGTCAAGTGTAAGTGAGACGATCTCCGAAAAAGATGGAACCCTTATCTGCTCTCAAAACAAACGTTTAGAACGACGGGCGGAACACTTTAAGGAGCAGTTTGGCTGGCCTTCAGCTACTGCACAACTACCCACTATTCCCAGAAAACCTGAATGAAACATTGAAGTAGGCCCCCCGACCCTACCTGAAGTTCAAAAGGCTATAAGTAGTCTGAAACGAGGAAGAGCAGCTGGTCCTGATGGATTGGCTCCAGAGGTCTTTAAATATGGTGGTCCAATTTTAGCGATTAGGTTGACTAATATTCTGGCTAAAATTTGGGAGACGGACGTAATCCCATCCGACTGGTCACAATCACTGATTGTCCCAATATATAAAAAGGGGTCAAAATCATCCTGTGATAACCATAGAGGGATTAGTCTGACTAACAAAGCATCTAAAATACTAGGCTCAATAATTATCAGCGCCTAACTAAGACTCGTGAACTGCAAACACGAGAAAATCAGGCTGGCTTCAGACCTGGTCGTGGCTGTATCGACCACATATTCACCATTCGTCAAGTTTTAGAGCACAGACATGCTTATCGGCGTCCGACAATGATAGTCTTTCTTGACTTGAAAGCAGCATTTGATTCTGTAGACCGAGAGGTTCTGTGGCAGTGTCTGTCATTGAAAGGTGTACCTCAGAAGTACATAAACCTTGTGAAGGCTCTTTACTCGAACACTACCAGTCGAGTGAGACCTCATAGCGAACTGTCATATGATTTTACAACCTCAAGTGGTGTCCGTCAAGGCTGTCCACTATCCCCATTTTTGTTTAACTTCATTATAGACCTGTTGCTGCAAATAACACTCTCTTCGACTGAATTTACAGTAATTGTTCTCCTACCAGGGAGACCACTAAGCGACTTAGAATACGCAGATGACATAGTCCTGTTTGGTGAAGACGCTGTCAAAATGCAGAGTCTTCTGTTGGAACTCAGTAATAATGCCAGGATGTTTGGGATGCGTTTCACTACATCCAAATGTAAATTGTTACTCCAGGACCGGCCTGCGTCAACACCCGAACTAAGGATAGGGAGTGAAGTAGTCGAACGCGTCGACAACTACACTTATCTTGGAAGTCTGACCAGCCCTAATGGGTTGGTGTCTGACAAAATCTCAGTACGGATTCAAAAAGCTCGTTTGGCTTTTACCAACTTACGTCACCTATGGCGTAGACGAGATATCCGTCTATCGATTAAGGGACGAGTATACTGCAAAGCAGTTCGTTCTGTTCTACTTTACGGCTATGAAACATGGCCATTAAGAGTAGAAGATACTCGTAGGTTACTAGTATTTGACCACAGATGCCTTAGAAATATTGCTCGCATCTGCTGGGATAACCGGATAAGTAATAGTGAGGTTAGACGCAGGGTACTAGGGAACGATGGTAAATCAGTTGATGAGGTGATGAATCTTCATCGACTGAGATGGTTGGGCCATGTGTTACACATGCCTGAACACCGATTACCTCGTTGCGCTATGATGACTAGTATTGGGGATGGTTGGAAGAGAGTTAGGGGCGGCCAAACCAAAACATGGCATCAGTGTTTGAAGTCACTAACTTCTAGCCTGAGCCATGTTGGCAGATGCAGACTACCTGGTTGGGGTCCGCGTGACTATCGTAACCAATGGTTGGAGACTCTAGGTGACATGGCTCAGAATCGGTCACAATGGCGTAGGTGTATACACTCTTTAACTTCCCTTAAACATTGAGACTAAAATTGCTTCATAACGTTTTTCCTTCCTGTACTATATCCTTATATACAACCTATAATTTATATACTGCTACCAACACTAGATTAACTACTATGAATCCGGTGTTCATCTTGTTGTGCTAACGAGGTATGGCAACTTGTACCGATGCACATATGTGCCTGGTCCTACGTTGTAGCTGAATGACTGACTGGCGAAACGAGTAGAATCTCCTGGGGTTGTAGATTCATGATTAACTAGTTAACTGGGTAGTGTTAATGTTGTGCCATAAACTAATTCAGCGGGTGTACATCCTATGTCTTCCTTCACAGTGGAACGAATCCCGAGGAAAACGAGTGGCAAGGCACCGCTCCATTTTGATGAATCAGTTTGAGCCATGAGTGAGCTTTTTAATTGACGATGAAATCATTCGACCATACCGTTCGCTGTTGGGTGGTAAGCTGTAGTTCTGATGTGGTTTACGCACAGAAGTCTTGTGAATTCTCTAAATAATATAGACTGGAATTGGGGATCGCGGTCCGTTGTGATTATAGAGGGTACACCATAATTTGCTATCCAGCGGTCGAGAAAAGCAGATGTTACAGTTTCGGCGTTGGTGTCTTTTATAGGGCATGCTGTGGCCCATCTCGTGAACCTATCTACCACCGTGAGGATGTGAGTAAAAGAATTTGAAGGTGGCAAAGGTCCTACTAGATCCAAATGAATATGCTGAAAGCGTCTGTCGGGGATATGAAATTCCCCAGTTGGGGTGACTGTGTGTCTCTGAACTTTTCTGCGCTGACATTGTACACAGTTTCGTGTCCAACGTTTTATATCGGAGTTCATTTTGGGCCAGACAAGACGTTCGGTGATCAGCTTGGTGGTAGCTCTAATATCTACATGCGACAGTCAATGTAGTTGTTGAAATATCTTTCTGCGACAAGTAAGTGGGACGAAAGGACGATTGTTGCTCGTTGAGGTGTCACAAATGATGGATGCATCTGAGAAAGGAATGGGTGCCGATTTTAGATTCAAGCTAGACTTTTCTCTACAGACCTTCAAATCTGCATCGTCTGCTTGTAATTTGTCCAAGGTTTCAAGGCTGATGTCATGGTTGAGTACCGTCATATTGATATCCTTTCTAGACAGTGCGTCTGCAACAATGTTAGTGTGACCCTTAATAAACTGGATGTCCGTGGTGAATTGCTAGATAAAATCCAGCTGTCTTGCTTCGCGTGGTGAATGTCTGTCGTACGATATGTCGTAAGAGTAGCATAAAGGTTTATGATCAGTCATTATAGTAAAAACAAGTCCTTGTAATAGAAAGTTGAAATGCTTTACTGATAAATACATCGCTAATAGCTCGCGTCCGAACGTGCTATAACGTTCTTGTGTTGGTGATAATCGCTTAGACAAGAATGCTATAGGTGTAATCCTGTCGTTTACCTGCTGTTCCAATACTGCACCTACGGCTTTTTGAGATGCATCAATGCAGAGGATTAGGTGGGTTGAAGGATCAGAGTTCATATGTTGTAACATAGTTGCATTGGCTATCAAAGCTTTTGTTTAATCGAAGGCTGATCTAGCATCAGGGGGTAATGTGAAAACATAGCTTTTCTTGTGTTTCACTGCTGTTTTATCTGTCTTCAGCAGATCAGTCAAGGGTTGCAGTATGTCCGCTCAGTGAGGAAGGAAACATCGATAGAAATTGCACATCCCAAGAAACCGGTGTAATGCCTTTACGTACCTAGGCTCAGGGTAATGGATGATAGCTTCAACCTTCTCAGGTAGCGGTTTAATTCCCTGAGAGCCGATGTGATGACCAAGAAACTCCAAAACTGAAACACCGAATATACACTTTGAGGGATTAATCACGACGCCATAACTTTTGAAACGCTCAAAGAGAATCTGTAAGTGCTGAATTTGTTCTTCCAAGGAAGAGCTAACGATTAAAACGTCGTCGACATAAACGAATACAAAGTCCAAACCTCTAGTTGCCTCATCCATGAATCTTCGGAAGGTCTGGGCAGCGTTTTTTAATCAGATGGCATCCTTAAGAATTCAAACAAACCAAAGGGCGTGATGATGGCCGTTTTCTCGATACTTTCAGGTGCCATCGGAATTTGGTGGTGTGTTCGCACAAGATCTAATTTCCAAAAAAACTTGCTTTCCATGTAGGTTTAAAGAAAAATCGTGTAAATGCGGGATGGGATATCTATCTGGAATAGTCTAACTATTCGAACGACGATAATCCCCGCATGGGCGCCAATCTCGCTCTTTTTTGGAACCATATGAAGCGGAGAAGCCCAGGGACTGCTAGACTGCCTAATGATGTCTAGTTGCATCATGCGTTCAAACTCTCGTTTGGCAATCGCTAACTTGTGAGGTGGCAGTCTCCTAGGTTTTGCACGTGTAGGTTGGCCAGTAGTAGTAATATGGTGTTGCACATGATGAACGGTGCATTCATTTTGATAATCGACTATTGTGATGCACTCGTACTGCGATAACACATCAGTAAAGATTTTATTTTCAGGTTTTTGAATACGGACACCATAGATTTCAAAGTCAGAAATTATGCCAGTGACTTGTAACTTTGTATTTTTGTCGATGAGTTTCTTTTTTCGCATGTCAACTAATAAGTTGTTAGCACTGAGGAAATCAGCTCCGAGGTTGGGTTGTTTAACTTGAGCTACTGTAGAAACCCATGTAAATCTCCTACGAAGGCCGAGATCTAGTATGAGTGATTGCTCACCGTACGTTTTGATAATGGAGTTGTTTGCTTCGACAAGGGATAGATTAGCAGACTCTGAGTGCCGTCGTCGAGAGAGATGCAACGGGAGACTGCTGATTTCTGCTCCTGTATCGACTGAAAAGTCCGAGTCAGAAATACGATCCCGGATGTAAAAGAGACGGCTTGTGATGAGGCCAGAAACAGACTCCGCCATTATTGCCCGGCCGGGCCGTTTCCCTGATTCGTCGTGTCAGTTGAAAAAAATGCGCACGGCCGAGTACAGCGACGTGCTTTAGCTCCACAAATTTTATGGTAACGACATACTTCAGAGCTCTTCTTACTTGAACATGAACGTCGTCTAGATAAGGATCATCGTCTAAAAGAGGGTACAAGCTGTCTAGCTTGAACTGTTGCAACTGTGGTCTGAAGTGACGCAAGATGATTCGTTAGTTGAGACAATTGTCTTTGGATAGAATTTAAATAGTCGACATGGCAAACTTCCCTTACCTTATCTGCCATATCAGCTAAATCATCAAGAGAGGAAGATTTCCCCAGGGCACTTAGAATTTGTCTGACGCTACGTCGTAATCGATTGAACCACATTTGTTTGAGGAGAACTTCATCTAGTTTATATGGGCCCGCAAGTTGTTTCATATGTCGAAGTAGCTGGGAAGGTCTTTTGTCTCCCTGGTCACATGCGTTTAAAAGTTGTTGTAATCTTGTTTCATCTGAAACCGTTGTTCGCTGAATTAAAGCAGCTTCTAATTTATCATATGGCTCAGTTTCCGGAACCTGGTCAATAAGGTCTCCAACTTCAGCGGCAATTCCGATAGGGAGTGAGCCCACTACATAAGCATACTTGGATGCTTGGGAACGTATGCCCCTGGACTGAAATATGGCTTCTATTTGAGCAAACCAGACTCTAGGATTATTTGCTTCATATGATGGAGGTCTAAATTCAGAAATGGCATTGACTGGGCTAAAAATATTGTCAGTAAGGTTTGATGATGAACTAAGAGTTGTTACTGGAACAGTGTCCATATAGCTAAGTTTAGGTGGAGAGTACATTAAGTTAAAAATGAGTTAGTGGGTCGTACAATAAGCGAATAAGCAGTATAACAATGGGATAAATACGAGATAATCAAATACTAGGCTCACCATATAATTGTGGCGGAAAAAAAAGTATGATAACCAAAAAATAGTAACAAAAATATTACGTCTAAAGTTTATGTAACAATTAACCGTTAATAAGTTAATTACACACAGATAAAAGTAAGGGACGTTACTTAATTCTTCAGGCTATTGCGCGTTCAGTTGACTTCGGTCCCGATAATCCACAATTATAAAAGATTAGTAATCCCAATATGGACGATATGGATCCAGTAGATTTACCAAGCGTAGAATTCAATAAGAATGTCACAATTGTCTATAAACGTAGATGGTATGCAATTAATATTTCATTTAACATATTTGCAGATATAGCAGAGGTATGTTAGAGTGTATTTATTGAGGAGCAGGTACCTTGTCACGATATGTTGTACTCAAAACGGAAGGAAGTCAAAATACAAGTGTTCAAAGTAATACACTTAAACAACAAGTACAATTGTTTAATGCTAAATGTACATGATATGAATATACACAAAATACATGCAAAACCTATGAAAGATTGTTTACAAAATATGTTTAATAGTCCTGTCTCCACAAGACACTTCTACGCTGGGCTTTTTGACCGACTACGGTCATTACGAAATCTAAGATATCGTGTAAGCATGTGACATAGTTCGGCTATGTCAGTCGGGGTCAATTGAGGTTTTTCCTTGACGGAAAAAACCTCAGCGCTAGTCAATTTCGTTATTTTTAAAAGTTCGTCTACGGTGTTGTTTTGATACGAGACGAACACTGACTGCACCTGTTTCAGGAGTTTAGACAAGAAAAGTTGTTTGAATAGGCCGTCGTCGAACGTTCTTTGACTTATGACTTCTCGCATACTTAACAACATGTCCGTCGCGGAACGATGTTCAAGGTCGATATTGTTAATTAGTTGGTCTAACCGTTGTCGATCAATTAGATTTCCGCGTTTTAGAACCGACCGTTTGGGAGTTTCGCAAGTTTCCGGAACATCACCGGTAAACATATTACGTGTTACGTACCTGTTGAATTCGTGCGGTAACGCCTTAAATACCGCGAGGAATTGTGAGCGTGAGTCCGTGATTCCATGCCAGAAAACGTCAGCTTCTGCGTAGCAAAACCAGGACTCGATATTATCAGGCCAGAAGGAAGTTAATGGAATCAAAGGTGGGGTAATAGCCCTTAACTTAAATACTTGGGGTGTCTGTTCGGTCATTGTGAAAAATGAAGTATCATGATAAACGAAAAATAAATAATTAAAGTATATATGCAAACTCGAGAAAAAATATCACAATATATAAAAGTCAAATTAAACAACACAATGATTAATGAAATTCCAAAAAGGAACAGACTCACAGTTTATTGGCTTGGTGTACCAGATAACGTCGGTCTCACCACTGAAGATACGACTAGTATTCTGATTTTACAACCTGCTACCAGTGGCACCTTCTATATACGAAGCTTTCCCCAACCGAATGAAATCAGAAGTCAGATGCGAAGAGATCGGTAAGATATATTTGATACGTTATCAATATATCGAGAAGCGTTTGCTCTAATCTGGCTAGTGAACGTAGGAGTTGTGTCACATGCTGAGTCGAAACGTGATCTGATACGGATGCATGACCGAAAGCCTTCAGTTAAACAAGTCCATTTAAACAACGTGGTCAGCATCCAATGTCGAACACTTAGAAAGCTGTTGATTTTGAGGAATTATTTACAGCTACAACAACCTCAGTGAGAACTAAGCTTGAGAACTAAGTCCAGGCTGCAAGCCCTTGTTTGAAAGGTAACTCAGATATTCTAAAAAAAGTACAAAAGGCAGGTTCCTGTGCAGCTTCCGGACTTCGAGGCTTGGAATGCAAATGGCGGCTTGAAAAGCTAGACGTCTTTACTTTGTCATGTCACAGATTAAGAGGTGATCTGATTTTGATGTGTAAAATGCTATGAAATGATTTTGGGCCTTAAATATTCTTTTTTCTTCTCGTTAGATCGAGACATCTCAGGGGACATAACAGGCGAGTAGAAAAGCTAAGAACGAGCAAAATACTTGTTGCATACAGGTTTTCACACCGAGTCATTAATTGATTTTAGAAGGACAGTGGTATTGTTTCACGTTGAGCTTAATTCACTGTTTTGATAGTAAATTACGTATCAAAACTACTGTTTACACCTTAATTGAATTTATTTCAGTTAACGTGACATTGTATTTGTGTGTTTGGATCCTGTTTTTGTGTATCTACTGAATCAAAGCATTCTTGGTCGACTGCAGCTTGATTGTTTGATTAAGGTTGTGATTTGTCTTACATGTCTACCTTGCCTATCATTTTGCTTCATTCTAAGATGGTTGGCTCTGCACACAAGTGTGGACAGCCATATTGCTTATTCCCCGTGGAAGAAGGGATGCAATGTGACGAATGTAAGAAGTGGTTTCACAAAATGTGCACCCGCTTAAGCCCTGCTGCCTATAAAAGGTGTTCGAAACCGAATTCTCATTGGCTCTGTATGTTTTGTTGCTCAAGCAAGACATTACTCATTCAGGAAGCCATTAGCCTTCTAGCGTTAGCTAAAAAGGTCGACGTAGGCCGTGCCGGCAACATGGATACTGATTACGAAGATTGTATCAGTGTCGTAAATGCTGCCATGGCAGGTACCAGACACCGGGAAGCTAACAGTAAGAAGCCTGTAGCTAACCGGCAGGATCTGACATCATGATCAAAGGCAGTGAACACGACTTTTAAGTAAGTTAAACAGGTGCCTAGTGTAATCAACTGGAACTTGGAAGAATCGAATGACACCGATCCCGCTAAGAGACATGCCCAGGACCTGCAGTTAGTGGGATCTCTCATCAGAAATATACTGCCCGATGAGGTCCCAGGGGTATATATCTCGAAAGTCATCAGACTCGGTAAATATGTTGGAGGCGTAACCCAACAGAGAAGGATCCTTAAATTAGCACTCGGTAATTTTGAGGAAAGGGACGTATTACTGAATAACGCACGCAAAATTAGTGACTCAAACATTCGTATTCGACCTGACTGGCCACTTGAGGATCGGATCAAGTGAAAGAATGCCCTAACAGAGTTAAAAGCTCGAAAGCTAAACGGTGAAGAGAACCTTACGATTGAAGGTTTTCGGGTAGTCAGGTCTTGGAAGCCAATGCTTCCGAGACCTGTGTGGGTAGAACGTATGTCTCCAAAAACACCTTAAATGTGTGTTACACTAATGCTCATAGTCTTCGGAATAAGATGTCTGAGCTAAGTTTGATGGTAGACGAATTAAATCCGGACATAATTGTTATCACAGAAACTTGGCCCACTGTAGATATAGACTGCTCTTCAGTCATTTCAGGCTCGATCTGTACCAGAAGTGATAAAGTTAGAAGTCGCAAAGGAGGAGTCATAATATTATATGTTAGGGACCACTTCCGCATAAACTCGATCATGTTGGAGGCGCATGTAAGTGGTACGTGTGAGGTAGTATGTTGTACAATTATGTCTAGAAACGGGTTAGTGACGATAGGAGGAATGTATCGTAGTCCGTGTTGTCTCGCTGACGACTTTATCCTAATCACGTCTGTTCTTGGAGTAAGGCAGAATGTTGTCTCATCGTTGGAGACTTCAATGCAACCCATATAAACTGGAGAGAGCTCACAGCTCCAGGTGAGGGTTTCGATAGCGTCCTTCTGTCATCAATTATTCAATGTGCACTTGTACAATGTATCGTTAAGCTGACGCATATAGACTTGGAACATAATCTGTCATTGATAGACCTTGTCCTCACACACCACTGTAAAGATATCGTCAACATTCACCACCTTCCACCACTGGTGAATAGTGACCATGTCATACTTTCCTTTAAGTTCCGGATACATGGTATAGAATTTCCATCTGCTCCACTCCGTCCTAATATCTGGAGAGCTAATATACCGGCAATCAGGGACTATGCTATCTCGGTTGACTGGTCGGTCGATGCTGATGGATCGATTGATGATGCATGGAATAGGTTTAAGTCTACGTTCGAAACCGTAACTCAACCGTTTATCCCATGGTCAGCACGTAAGCTAACATATTGCCCTCCATGGGTTAATAAGGAAACCCGGAAGTTGTTGAAGCGTAGGAAACACTTCTGGGACTTATTCTTGTCAGCAGATTAGGCATCATTTAAGTGCTAATATAAAAAAATCCAAAATATATGTAAAAAGACCATAGCTAAATCCCGCACGGCTTACGAACGACAGTTGGCATACGATAGCCGTACCTGTCCGAAGCGACTGTTTTCGTACGCTAAAGGCGGACGAAACGTAGTGATGGTATCCCCTTGTTACTGTTACGCGAAAATTCAGCTTTATTGGCTGAATCTGATCTAGCGAAAGCTGAGACATTTGCTAACTATTTCAGTGAAGTCTACTCTACGTGTAGTGTTACAACTACTTGTCCTGTTGACAATGAGATACCAGCCATAGGACCTTTACATGTAACAGAGGTTATTGTTCTTCCTTTGATAACTAACCTAAAACCTTGTAAGATACCGGGCCCCGATGGGTTACACCCACGTTTACTGTCGTCGCTTGCGGACATTATCTCAAGACCGCTCACGGTGCTCTTCAACATGTCCCTTTCATAGGCTCAACCACCTAGAGACTGGAAAGACGCCATAGTTAGTCCTATATTTAAGGATGGTCAGAGACGGATCGTATCTAACTACCTGCCTGTTAGCTTGACTAGCATAGTAGTTAAGTTACTTGAGAAATTAATTCTGGCTAAGCTACTGAATCACATAGATTCGTACAATCTGTTAACTCCCGAGCAACATGGGTTTCGTGACAAGCATCCATGCTTGACCAACTTACTCATTGCGAGAGAGGATTGGACAGCTGCCCTAGACAACGGCCTGTCTGTCGACGTGATATTCATAGATTTTAGCAAAGCGTTTGATAAGGTTTCACACTTAGGTCTTATGCAAAAGCTCTCGAGCTTTGGAATAACAGGTGCTATACAGGAATGGATAGGTAGCTTCTTATGTGACCGCAGACAGAGAGTAAGAGTCAATGGAACGCTGTCCGAATGGAAACTGGTCAAAAGTGGTGTACCCCAATGCACCTCTTTAAGCCCTTTACTTTTCCTCCTGTATATTAATGAACTACCTTTATTACTTAAGTCGTCGACGTTATTGTTTGCGGATGATGTTAAAATCTGGAGGACAATAAGAAATGAGACTGATCGTTGTTATCTGCAAGCAGATTTAGATGAATTAGCTAGGTGGGCTCATGATTGAGACCTGGAAGTTAATTCCAGGAAGAGCGTGTTCATGCACATCGGGCACGATATTAGTTACCACTATACCATTAATGGTACATCTCTTCCACGCGTTCAAGAGCACAAAGACTTAGGAGTAATTATAAGTCACGACTTGAAAACTACTACGCACTGCAATGCGGTTGCTTTCAAAGGCTATCGAGCGCTATGGTCGCTTCGCAGAGCATTTAAATGCTTCGACGAGGATATGTTTCGAATTTTATATCCCACCTATGTAAGGCCACACTTAGAATACTGTATAGAAGCAGCTAGCCCTTGTCTGATAAAGGATACTAAATCGCTTGAGCGTGTCCAGCGTGTAGGGACAAAATTGGTAAAGGGTCTTTCTAAACTCCCTTACGACGAGCGTTTAAAACGTCTAAACCTTTTCCCCTTATCTTATCGTAGGACGCGAGGTGACCTTATACTGGCATTTCGTATCTTTAATTATGATCTGGGTGTTAATATGTCTTATCTTTTTGCTCCCTCCAGCACTAATAATCTCCGAGGTCATAGCAAGAAGGTTCTGAAACCGCGATCTAATAAACTAAAGGTGGGGTCCCGTTTTTCTCATCGAGTGGTCAATGTCTGGAACGCTTTACCAGAACAAGTGGTATCAGCACCATCAGTGAACAATTTCAAGAAGAAGCTGGACCTTCACTGGGAGGAAATCTGTCCGAATTAACACAGGTTCATCAACCTACTATCCTTATTACTGAAGACTTGGAACCTGTCACATGAAGCAGTGGTGTCCGCACCTTCAATTGACTCATTTAAGAGAAGAGTATACACTCACAGTTGAATACTAGAAAAGGAATAACATAGGTCATAGACCTTCTGTCCTTAGTATATAAATCTAAATCGGAGTCGAAATAAGAAACTACCAATAGGAATTAGGCAGTAAAAATTGGCGAACTCTTCGAACTTTACTTGCGTAGTGGAAATTAGACGTTAGCCTGGGTGGTTTCGTAGTAAGTCATTCCTTAGTTATGATAGATTTGGTTATGATCTGGTGTGAATAGATTTTTTTCCAGGCTAACACGAAAGTTATGTGTTGTAGACTACATTTGCAAAAGAAAGTCAGCGACTGATCGTTGACATCGATGACAAAGTAGTCACATCAATTTATAGTTGTCGAAATTTCATTAAAAAATTAAATATAAAATTATAGAATGTATAATGCTTGTGGTCAGGTAATTTTAAGGTGTCATGCTTTAGTGTGCGGTAATTGTTATTAGCGAATAACACGGCCATAGCCGTGTAGATTTATGCAAATAAATCACTTCCTAACTTAGTGAAAATCTTGAACAGTTTCAAGGAATCGCCATCAGAGGCTACGTGAAACATGCTACCAAGAACCTGAAGGTTTCCACTAATTCATATTTTACCCAAAGTCTTAATTTAGGGAAAAACCCTAAAACTGAGACTACTATGTTTGTCACTTAGTGCGACAGTTATTGGTCTGTCATGGCAAGGAATTCAACAGTGTCATAAACAAAACCACATCTCCATCAATTGAACTGACTTCATCGTAATCCGATCTATCATGTGTTTGCGCGGATATAAAAAATTCTGGAGTACACCTTAGTCCATATAACGTTTTGGTTGCCGAAGTTCTTTCGTCTAGATCATATATATTTCACTCTTAGAAGACTATCAGACTGGCCAGTAAATTCTGCTAGTTTTTACTGTTACTTGGTTCATAGAAGCATGTCGATAATCGAAGACAGTAAATTAAGATAGACATGGTTCATACAACTACTGAGCACTAGTAGGAAATTAACTCATTTACCAATTAGAAATTTATGTGCTCATCTACGAGTTGTATTAAGTGCACATTAAAAGTGCCTGTCGACTCAATGTTCAGTTCCCAACTCGCAAATAAATAAGTCACAGAGAACTGAACCACTGAATGTCATAGTCTTCAGACTAGTAAATTCTTTTCCTCATACTATTTAGGTTTGGTTTACTATAGCTGTCCACCAAACACGTTAGGTGACAAGTTTGCTTAGGCTTTGGTAAAAAGGAACCTTAAATAAAAACCGACTCAAAACATTCATCTCAATATTTAAATGAGACTTGTAGAATTCTATTGAGTATAGGTTGTCATATTGATGATGGCCACTGCTTCTCCGCCGTCTTTTCGAACATAATTTTAGATAATGTTCTTGTAGGTGAGTATCACAGGATATTCACTTCACTTGACACTTCTACAATATCATACTATTCACATAACCTACTTCAAAAGCACAAGCAGTATTTATACTGTATTTATACACTCTCGGCCCTGGTACGGCCGAGATTGGGGAGAGTCACCTCTCCCTCTCGAAATGCTTTCATATGGTCAGCGAATATATAGCCTCTGCCAGGGAAGTCCTACTCATTGCCTTCTCGTGGCGGGGGTGTTGTTTACGAAAGTAAGAGGACGAAAAGCGAATGTCCGGCGCTTTAACCGGGTTGGTGGACATGGAAAGTTCACCTAGGGGAGTTGGAAAACCCTGATTCCAAACCAGTGGTGCACATGGGCTCCAGTATCCTGAGGGAACAAATGGCGTATGAATCAACCGTTGATCATCGGCTACCATGGGACTGCATCTCCTCACGATGCTCTACTGCCTTGCGGATCAGACATTCAGGTCAAAGGCTCCGGGTGTGGCCCCCTAAGAAAACCACCTACTTCAGTCTGGGCACCTGTGCAGTATCACAGCCCTCACACAAATCGAATGAGATTTGTGAGGCGCATATTTATCTGGTGCTTCCTTGTACCATTATTTATGTGTTTAAATAAATAAAAATAAATCTGTAAGAGAGAACAAAAATGCTCTTGTGATAATCACCGAGAAGTCAGTTTAACTAATATAGTGTCTAAAATATTAACTTCAATAATACTTGAACGTCTAACCTGAGGAAAGCGGGCTGGTTTCGGACCCAGACGTTGTATAGACCAACTATTCACCCTTCGGCAGATTATGGGACGTAGACAATTTTCGACTTCTATCTCTGGATGTGTTCCCTGACCTTAAGGTGGCGCTCAACTGCGCTGATCATGAGATTCGGTGGCAGTGTCTGTTATTAAAAGACGTACCGAAGGAGTACATTAACCTTGTACAGACTCCCTATTTGAACACTACTGGTCGAGTCGGATCTTCTGAGTAACATTCGTCGGAATTGGTTACTGTAAATAGTGTTCATCAGAGTTGTCCACTTCTATTCTTATTTAAAGTTGTCATCTACATGATTTTAGAGATAACCCTTTTTTCCGTTAACCTTTTAGGACTTGTCCTTTTCTACAAGATTCACCTATTGATTTAGAATATGTGGAACACATAGTTCTGTTTAATGAAGACTGACAAAATAAAGTCTTTTGACCATCTTAAGAAACAATGAAAATATGTTTGGGATGCAATTGTCTTTTTCGAAATGCAAAATGATGCTTTAAGACTAGATCACGTCGGCGTCTGAATGGATGATAGGGAGTGGATTAGTTAGACGCATCGACTGCTTCACTTATCTCAACGGTCTCATCAGTCCTGATAGTCTAGTGTTTGACAAAATCTGGACACATATTCACAATTCTTGAGTTAGCAGTAGAGTACTAGGTGAGGATGGCAAATCGATTGATAAGCTGGTGAGTTTTCATCAACTGAGGCGGTTGGGCATACGTAACACATATTCCAACCATCGCTTACCTCAACAGGCGATGTTGTTAGGTGTTGGCGTTGGATAGAGGTAACCTAGGGACGGCCAAGCTAGAACATTGCATCAGTTCATAAAGCTATTGACAGTCGAGCTTGGTTATGTTTTTAGGTGTAGACTACCCGATCGCGATCCTCATGCTCATCTTGACTACCAGTTAGAAACTTCTAATGACACGGCGCAGGTTTACTCATAATTTGTCTTCCCCCAAGTTCTAAATTCTTCATGATTTTTTCCATGTTTTTATTTCACTAATTTATAGTTTCGATTTATCGTTCGATGCCTAACCTCTCCGACTACCACTGATACTGTTACTACCTCTGCTATTGTGGGATTCCATCTGACAATTTCATCTCTGTACTAGTGGGGTATGGCAACTTGAACCGATGTGCATACGTTCCGGGTTCTGTGTTGTAACTGACTGAATAACTGGGTGACTTTATCGTCATTCGCCGTACAGATTCCTTCGTTGAACTTTATATCTGGATATCCAATTGTTCTTTAATATTATTGGTCTGTCGACTAGATTTACCTTCTCTATTCCACGAAAGGAGTCCTTCACTCTGCTTCTTGACACGACAATTCTAAAACTACGACTAAAACACATTTTACTGATACTCAAGCACAATTTTATGTCATACTGAATAATCCCGGTTATTTCTGAATACTTTGTATGTGTTTATCCAGATGTTTAAAGGCCTTTTCGTTCAAGATATTCATCAAAATTACTTGACTATATCTTCGTTATAAGCTTCAGGTGAAGTAATCTACGTATGATGAGAAAACTCTTTACACCATTTGTCTTTGTCCCAACAAACTAACTTGTAGGTGTGATCCATAATTTGTTTGTCTATCGTACAATCACATTCAGACGTCCCACAATAGTAGTGTTTCTCGACCTTAAGGCGGCATTTGACTCCGTTGATCGAAAGGTTCTGTGACAGTGTTTGTCACTGAAAGGAGTACCAAAGAAGTACATTAACCTTATAAAGGCTCTCTACTCGAACACAACTGGTCGAGTTAGAGCTTATGGCAAACTGTCATCGGAATTGATTACCTCAAGTGGTGTTCGTCAGGGCTGTCCACTCTCTCCATTCTTGTTCAACTTTATCGTAGACGTGCGTTTAGAAATAACACTTTCCTCATCCAAATTTAGAGGGGTTGGACTTTTACCGGGAGACTCACTTGTTGACTTAGAATACGCCGACGACATAGTTCTATTTGGTGAATACGCTGACAAAATGCAGAGTCTTCTGACCACTATAAGCAACTATGCAGGCATGTTCGGAATGCGATTCTCTCCCTCGAAGTGCAAAATGTTACTTCAGGATTGGGTTGCATCTACACCCGAACTAATGATAGGGAGTGAAGTAGTTAAGTGTGTTGACCGCTTCACTTATCTTGGGAATCTCATCAGCCCTTGTAGTCCGGTGTGTGACGACATCCCAGCACGGTTACAGAAGGCTCGACTAGCTTTCACCAACTTGCATCATTTATAACGTAGGCGAGATATCCGTCTAGCAACCAAAGGACGTGTTTACTGTGCAGCAGTTCGTTCCGTCCTGCTTTATGGCAGTGAAACATGGCCGATAAGAGTAGAGGGTATCCGTAGGCTACTAGTTTTCGATCACAGGTGTCTTCGAAGCATTACTCGTATATCCTGAGACCACCGAGTAAGTAACGCAGTTGTTAGGAAACGAGTACTAGGTAAGGATAGCAGATCGATTGAAGGTCAATAAAGCAGAAAGATTTGTGTGTAAGTTGATTTAGAAATATAAAGTTCAGCAGTTGGAATTTTTATCATCAACCAATTACTATCTGCACATAATTATGATTTTAATAATCGTTGATTAATGGTCTTCATTTTTTAGGCTTCTTCTCGAATGAGTTCTGTGAATAATATTATTCTCGTGGCGACTGATATTTAAAATTATGGATGGAAACCCTAGTACTCTTTCCATTCTATCAGATAAGGTAATGTATTATTGTTTTATTTATTCGACTATTACATTTCTCCATCTCATTTAAAAATGTCAAATAGTCTTAAAACTGTCAGCTTTTAATTTATTTTGATGCATGTATGCTTGGAGCGGTGACCCGATGGTTGCTATTTTATGTTATGCACGTTTTTCAGTTTGTCTACTTTATTCCTTCACCCACTCACCATTCGATGTTTCTATTAAGGACTAAGTTGTGTAGGGTTTTTAAGACTGGGACTAAGGATTTTCCGGCTTTATTGTATGGAGAACTACACACATCTTAAATCAGGGGGAAACGTGTCCCTGACTCGTGAACTTTTGGTAAGCCATGTAGTCGTGGTGTGTCCGATCTAGTATGTTCAAAAAGTCATGAATGGCTGGTTTGATTATCTCCTGTTTTATTTATTTATTTGAACACATAAACATTGGTACAATGAGACACCAAATACACATGCGCCACACAATAACAATGAGGCTGTTGGGGCCATCACCTGACTTCAATTAGATCATATGAATGATCAATGTAATAATAAAACGAATTATGAGATAAACTAGAAATTACTAACTGTTAAAAATATCAAATCATTTGTGCATCATCTCTGAATTGTCTCTTACAAGCTTCATTATTCCTTCATTCATGTATCGTTATCTTGACTGCTTTCAGTTTCCTTCTCTTTATTTCAATTTTCTCAACCTTCTGCTTGCAAACATTCTAATCCCGACTGGTGTTACATACTACTTATGTCTGCGAACATAAGTAGTATATATCAATAGTCAGGAATAGAATGTCTGGCAGCAGAAGATCGAGAAGGAAAGAATCATTTGTTGTAAAACTGAATTTCTCTGATTAATAATTTTGTAGGGAGGTTCTTTTTTTACGAGGTTTATTTATTTATTTAAACACACAAATATTAGTACAACGGGGCACCAGATACATATACGCCACACAAATCTCATTTGATTTATGTGAGGGCTGTGATACTGTCCGGGTGCCCGAACCGAAGCAGGTGATTTTCTTAAGATGCCACACCTCGAGTCTTCGACCTGAAGGTCTGATCCATAAGGCAGTGGAGCATCGTAAGGAGATGAAGTCCCATGGTAGCAGGTGACCAACAATAGATTCATACTTCATTTGCCCCCTCCCCCAAGATCCTGGAGCGCATGTGCATTATTGGTTTGGAATTGTGGTTTTTCAACTCCCTTAAGTGGACCCTCCGTGTCCACCAACCCGGTTAAAGCGCCGGACATTCGCTTTTCGTCCTCTCAATTTCGTAAACAACACTAGTGCCACGAGAAGGCAGTGAGTAGGACTTCCCTGTCAGAGGCTATCTACGCGTGGCTATGTGAGAGCATTTCGAGATGGAGAGCGAACTCTCCCCACTCTCGGCCTTACCAGGGCATTTAGGGGTAGCCATACGTCCAATTCTCCTTCTTTGTTAAAAATACCTCTATAAAGGCTGTAGATGAAGATTTGTAGCAAAGTAAATTTCATTCTTTTATGGAATCATGTAGGAAAAATACTTTTTAACATTGATCCTAGTTGAAAGACCTTTGTAATCAGCTTGAAAAAGACACTTTCTTGACTTAAAATGTTTCAACAGGATTAGTTTACATTATCTCTTAGGTACGGCCGAGAGTGGGGAGAGTCAGCTCTCCCTCTCCGAATGCTCTCACATGAACACGCGTATATAGCCTCTGCCAAAAAAGTCCTACTCACTACCTTCTCGTGGCAGGGTTGTTGTTTATGAAATTGAGAGGACGAAAAACGAATGTCCGGCGCTTTAACCAGGTTGGTGGACACGGAAATTCCACATAGGGGAGTTGGAAAACCACAATTCCAAACCAATGGCGTTAATGGGCTCCAGTATCCTGATGAAACAAATGGCGTATGAATTAATCGTTAGTGACCGGTTACCATGGGACTGCATCTCCTTAAGATGCTCCACCGCCTTATGGATCAGACCTTCAGATCGACGATTTGAGGTGTGGCATCCTAAGAAAACCACCTACTTCGGTTTGGGCACCTGGACAGTATCACAGCCCTCACACAAATCAAACAAGATTTGTGTGGTGCCCCCTTGTACCAATATTTATATGTTTACGTTGATTATCTTACAAGTTTTATCAACTTTATTAAATTAATATCTGACAAAATCTCTTTACGCATTCATTAGCCTTGTTTAAATGTTTTATATACATAGCGAGAAAGAGGAAGAGAGAGTTTACTCTCACATTTTTATTTATTTATTTCAATTGATGATTTTCTGTTTTATTTTCATTCACTTATTGTTAGTATGTTTTCTTAAATCCAAATGAAGATCAATTTGTACGTATAAAAAATTATTTGGATATAGAATTAGATAATGGACAGGGTGAATGCTTTTTAGAATTAGGTATTGGAGGTAAGTTTATTATTATATAATCAGTTGATATTAATGATATAAAATTTCTAAAGTTCTAATTATTATTGTCAGTCAGTGATCTTGAGTGCTGTTAGAAGTATGAGGGCAGTTGCCCACACCGTGGAAAGGTGTTTCTAGAGGTATCTGAAAAAAAAGGATTAGAAGTGGTCTTATTGACCTGAGAGCGTGACCGCAGTGTCCAAGGGACAACTTCTTGAGGTCGATCACACACGACCTTTTTATGGGTGATTTTTGTGTTAGCTCCGTAATTGTTGGGACCTTACCGCCTGAGACGGATATCTGTGGGATAAGGTGAGGTGTACATTTTTAGAGTCGACCTTCTCTAACCCCACACTTCCTTGTGGGAAGGCAGCATCGCTGTTATGCTGGTTATCTGAAGGAAACACCTTACTGCCATCGCACCTCTGTACAGTCAGCAGTACGACTTCGTCTTCGCACCTTGAGTTGGCTGCATTTAGTCTTACTGCTCTTCAACCGACCCGTCTGGCATGGTAGGACGTTGAGGAACGATTGTTCCAGCCTATGTAGCTCGATTGGTTCATCACAATAGGCAAGCCCGACCACGACGTCAAGGTAGCAGCAACGGTCGGGTAATTATATTGTATTACATTATTGTGTGGTTTACATTTTTATACAATAAGTATATACTATAAATCACCGGGTAAATAATAATGAGGTTAGACACAGGGTATTAAGGGATGATGGTAAATCAGTTGATGAGGTAGTGAACCTTCATCGACTGAGATGGTTGGGCCACGTGTTACATATGTCTGAACACAGATTACCACGACGCGCTATGCTGACTAGTGTAGGGGATGGTTGGAAGAAAGTTAGGGGCGGCCAAACCAAAACTTGGCATCAGTCCTTGAAGTCACTAACTTCTAGTCTGAGTCATGTTGGTAGGTGCAGACTACTTAGTTGGGGTCCGCGTGACTATCGTAATCAATGGTTGGAGACTGTGTGACATGGCTCAGAATCGATCACAATGGCGTAGGTGTATACACTCTTTGTCTTCCCTTAAACTATGAGATTAAAATTGCTTCTTATCTGTCTTTCTTCGAGTACTATATCCTTATATACAACCTTTCTTTTATCTACTAACACCACCACTAAATTAACTACTTCTATGAATTTGGTGTTCATCTTTTTTTGCTGACGAGGTATGGCAACTTGGACCGATGCATATATGTGCGTGATCCTACGTTGTAGCTGACTGACTGACTGATACAATAAATATGCTTAATTAATATCACTTTAATTAAGTTATTAATTGTTTACATGCACATAATAAATATATTTTGTTTTGTTATATCCTAATGAGTAGAAAAAATTGTATTTATGACGTTTCGTGACTTAATGTTAGCCACTTCTTCAGGATAAATCACCGAATTAAGTGAACATAAGTTTAAATAGTACAAAGGAAACATATATAAGCAAAGATGGATAGTGGCTAGCAGTGGAATCCAGTTTGACGCGCGTTTCGTCCTATTTGGGACTCGTCAGCTGAATGTACCTGCATCTCAGAGTTGATATTCACTTTGGGACTCAAACCCAGTACCTTTCGCTTCAAACGCCATCGCGTTATCCACTCGGTCACTAAGTCCTGATAGCCACTTGCTTGTGCAATGATGTGAAGATTCAAACAAACAATACTAAATGAATGGAAACATATATAGTTTATAATTCACAGAAATATTCTTAAATTATTGAAATCATCATTCCATTCATTTACACTTAGATTGATTATTCAAAATCTGATGTTTCTATTCTCTTATATTAATGGGATAATTATCACCTGACCAGTTTTTCTACCTATCATAACTGACATAATTTTAATTATTCATGTAATGAAGAAGGGATTAAAGAAAAAATGAAAGTGGGAAGAAGAGAAAATCATATGAATAGAATTGATGTTTACTTCATTAGGTTATTGAAGTTAGTAGATAAGATACTTAGTCGGAAACTTAGGTTTTGCGCTATTTTCCACTTGTCATTCAGAGGGTACCTGTAATCTGTAGGAAACTGATTCACTCTGTGAGATTCGGCTTTACAGTTTGAGATGTTACGACTGATCTATTCAAACAGTGAGTGACTAAAATGTTTTCTGTTGAATGATCTTAGTAGTCCTTTGTACAGATTGCCTACAACCACTGGACAACTTAACATAGCCACTCGATGTCAATTCACTTAGACTATTAGCTATACTGCAATTTGATTGATAAAGTTCGATCAGCACTTCAGGTCTCGACAAATATGACATTGTTGACAACTACTGACTGATCAATCAATATGACTAATGATACTATCTGTCTATCCAAATCGAAATAAATGTAGCGGGTTTTCAGCCCGTAACTCATTGGTTAAAATTCAGCTTCTTAAACAATTAAGCTACTGCTGCACAAATATTTGTTGAAATATTGCTTAATCGTTTTGTTTCCCATTAACTATCATGTAGACGGACAATGCCCTGGACTTACTCCACAAGAAATGAATCAGTCTGTATGTACAGCTGAACGTCTCGCTGATTCCTTATCATCACATCTAATTTATTTGAGAGATCGTTGGATAACAGCTGGATCACAATCTTCAGCAACGACGACAACACAATCAGGGTCAGGTGTGGACACAACAACAAGACCATCCAGTGTTGACAATGGTCACAGTAGTCCACATCGGCATACTTTAACTAGTTCATCTGGAGAAGGCAAAACAAAAGAAAGTTCAGTGAACGTAGATGATGGGATTCAACCAAAACAAAACAGTAATTTGACTGATAAAAATAAGGAACTATCTAGTCAAGATATATCAGAAACAAATGCGACTGATACTACTAGTACTATTAGTAGTAGTAGTAGCAATAGTAGTTCAGCGACAACGGGTTGTCTAGTCAAAGAATATCTTCTTCGACGGAAAACTGCTTCAGATGATTTTGTAGATGTTCGGTACGTTTCTTTTTAGCCAAATATTATTTTTCCTCCTTCTCTCATTATTATTATCATTAGGAGTTTTACTTTCATATTTATAAAACGCTAGGTTGGGAAAGTCAGATAATGTATATCAATCAGTCATGAGAAACGTAGAACATGATAAACCTGTGTATCGGTTAAAGTTGTCATGCCACACTAGCTCATCGAGTTAGAATTATTTCAAGATAATTCCCGGAGGAGTAGAATTACTCACAGTATCAGCAGTAGTATAAAAGGTTACTCAAAGTCTCCAACCGTTGGCTACGATAATCTTGTGGAACCTAGCCAGTTAGTCTACGCCTATTAAAATTACTCAGTTCAGTTGTCAATGTCTCCATAAATTGATGTCACGTCTTTGTTTTGCCGCTCCTGGCTATCTCCCAGCCTACTCCTAACACCAGATAACACCGCCCATCAAAGTAGTTGGCGTTTAAGTATATGTATATTTGTACCTAGTGAGACTATTGTATGTCACTACATTTCTTATTTACTTAATGCACACCCTGTCTGGTCACAGCTTGACACTAAGAACGAAAGTATGCGCTACATAGATAAAGAAATAACGATCCATCAAAATTATCGAATATATTCGATAATTTTGATGTTTGATTAAATTTCCTTGAAAAAGCTTGGACCAGATTGCCAGGCAAAACGTGGGATTTACTTCAAATTCATTCGCTGAGATTTTATAAACACATTCTTCCTCTTTAATGAACCAATCACTATTTTCCTCGTCCACACATCAGTTCCATATGGTAGTTTAAAGGATTTAAATAGTCTTTTGTTACAATTATTATTTATTCTTCATTCGTTAATCAGGTATAGATCCATCGACTTAATTTTGTAGTGACAATCTAAGTGTAAAAAGGCTGATGATATCACTGTTATCGATTCGCCTAAACAAAAGTAAATGAAACAGGATTCGAATATGCAAATTAATGGTTGGAAGTCGAACACCTTAAATACAACTGTGCACATTGAGCTTGATGCATAGAGACTATATCAATTGATGTATGATTAATAAGTTAAATCAATTTACTGACTTCTTGTAAGTAGTTTAACCTTATAAATATTCTTATCTGTTTACATTTTCTTCACTATCCTTGTGGCTTTGTTCTATTTAATATTTAATTTTGTTTTCTGTGTATCACAGAGTGGCAGTTGTGGGAAATGTGGATGCAGGCAAATCTACTTTACTTGGTGTACTAACTCATGGTGAATTGGACAATGGTCGTGGTTTAGCTCGTTTACGTTTATTACGTCATAAACATGAAGCAGAATCTGGACGTACTAGTTCAGTGGCACATGATATACTGGGTTTTAATTCAATTGGTCAAGTAGTCAATAAACCGATACATGGTCATTTGAATTGGTCTGAGATTTGTGAAGCTTCAGCTAAAGTAAATATTAACTTGTACCACTTTCTGTATTTGATTTATTCGTTTTTAAATGTACTTTGAAAGGTGTCTTCGACAATTTGGATAATCCTCTCCTCTCTTTCGTACACCTACATGTTACTTGACTTCCCTGTAGTTTTCTTTATGAAGAGGTTAATACACAAATTTCTTTTCTGTTGTGTAATTCCTCTGAAATCCGACCTCGTGTTTAACGATAAAGCCTTGATGCTTACATATATAATTATTTCTGGATTTTTATCAGCCTTGTTGGCTTAGTGATATATATATATATATATATATATATATATATATCGAGTTCAGAAACAGAGAAACAGTTTGTCTTACTATTTGTGAGGAATATCTCAGCATCCCTTTGAAATCAAAGTTGCTCACAAACTAACTTACTGCATTCCGTTTCGTACAAACCTAAGGATAGGATAGTGTGTGCTACTGATGTCAACAGATTTAAGTAGTATGTATCATCAATCGAAAGTGAAATGCCTGGAGGTAGAAGGTTGTGCAGCTTGAAGAAAAGAGAACGAGAACAGAAAACTATTGGTGTGGAAGCGAAGGAACAAAGAAGTCTGAGACGATTAAATGATACTTTGCAAATTAAGTATTTACTGTATGGTTCCCAGATTTTACTAAGACGTTCTGTAATTTTTGAGTTCAAATACATTCGATTGTTCCCACTTGTGTTCTGGTTGACTGCATTCGGTTGTCCCCGCCTGTGTTGTCGTTCACCACAATAGTAATGAAGGAGGACAAAGGTCACATCATTTACAGAATAGTTTGCATCAATTGTAAGAAATATTACATTACCTACGCTTAGATTAACAGTGAGGCGATATGATATACTATCACTGAGATCAGTGCATGCAGACAACCATGAATACGAATTCGATTGGAGAAGCATCGAAATTTCGATTTCTTAAACTCCAAGGGTCTCAGGGAATTTCTAGAAATATGCCATTTAGAACACTTAACAACCACCGAACACATCAACATAGAGTCAATCTATACGGAAGAGATCAGTCAATAAAGGTAGTCAATGTACATTTCAAGGCAAATGAAGACAACAAAACACATAAAGATAGTCACTCATAAACAAGCTCGTCGGAATAAACTAGTACAACACTTGTGGAATAACTAGTAAACCCACTTCTACATGAAGTAAGCGCTGAAGTTGTCTAGAATGACAATGAAGGCTCTGCAATCAGACCATGTAGCTCAGAGAAACCAATATATATATATATATATATATATATATACTTCTCTTTGGGGTACTTGGAAAAAAAACTGGACTAGGAGTAGTCTTGATGACCTGAAGGTATGACAGCATAGCCCTAGGAGCTAGTTATATGGACTTTTTGCAAGCACTGGTTAACATATTAGCCTCGTGGTTTAAAAATCTTGTCATCGGTGATAAAGTTTCGTTGGGCAAGGTTATGAGTACTTTTTTATTGTTGATATTTCCCAACCCTCCAACTAATCTGCCTGACATGGTAAAATCCACCCAATGTGTGTCGATATGGATTGACCTCAGTTGTGGATAACATTAAAAGTCATTAAGGTCTAAATGGCTGTTTCGTTCTAGTATTCAACTCTTCAAAAGTCTCCACTCTTCTAGGATAAAACAATCAGTACTCTCTGGTTTTCTGTAGTACTAGTGACAATACATGACAAAATTTGTTTAGCAGATTCACATTGTTCAATCTTGTCCGCTCCGCTCACGTTTGGTTCATTTTTTTTCTTATTTTTCTATCAATTAACTTAATTTTATGTTTGTATTACTCAGGTTATCACATTCATTGATTTAGCTGGTCATGAACGTTATTTAAAAACAACTATATTTGGTATGACTGGTCATGCACCAGATTATGTTATGTTTATGGTTGGTGCTAATGCTGGTGTTATCGGTATGGCTAAAGAACATTTAGGCTTGGCGTTAGCTTTATGTGTGCCAGTATTTGTTGTAGTTACAAAAATTGATATGTGCCCACCGAATGTATTACATGAAACAATGAATTTGTTATTTCGTATATTAAAATCACCTGGTTGTCGAAAAATTCCAGCATTGATATCATCAACGTAAGTACTTTTATAGATTTATAATTGTATCATAAAAAATTACCTTGGATAATTGATTGATGGCTTAGCAATTACAACGTTCAACTCTCACCCTTTTTTTTCTTATGTTCGAGCCCCGTCTCACCCTTTATATTGGTATATACAGGGAAGTAGTATTACTAACCTTGATACAAAAATAAAGTGTAACTTACGTCTAAATACAGGATCTTGTACTGATTAACTGGGTTATATTAATGATGCTGATAATGATGATTACTAAGTAATAATATTACCGCTCACGGTTTAGATTTGAATATATATGTTAAATGACAATTGTATCTTTATATTACGGTTCTTGTTTAATGTTTTAGGAAAAGTAAACATGTAAAGATGAATAAGCTTCGTTATGAACTGACATCCGTTTTGTGAATTATTAAAATCGCCACACTTATTGCAGTCTATTTGAAGTACATGTTGATGATATTGTTCAGAAGAACAATAGAAGCTGTACAACTAATTTATACAGCTCAGAGATCAAAACAACTCTAAATTATTTCTTGATATCGCGGCCACAAAACTCTACTTCAGTATTATCTGTTAGAGAGAGGTGTGTCTCAGATGTTTGTTAACATCTTGGACTCTCTGTATACAATCACCTCAGATATAATAAAAGCAAACAACCACCTCTCATTGTTATTTCAATTTAGCGGTAGAGTTAGGGAGGATTGCCTTATTTTATCACTCTTTAAATTTAATATGGATCGCCTTTTGGAAACAATCTTGAGAGAAGTAGGTAGCAATGATATGTTACTTGGAGACAATTTTGCCATCGAGAAAGGTTCCCTGGCAGTAGTTGTGTACGCGTGGTCATGTGAGAACATTTGGAGAGGGAGAGCGTACTCTCCCCACTCTCGACCGTACTATGGCATTTGTGGGCTTTTCCTGCCTAGCCATGCCTGTTGAGTTCAGAACAAAAATCTCAGCCTCCTCAATATGAATCATATATTTCAAACATTACTTGGTCTATATACAAGCAAACCAGATCACATCACACCATAAAATAGGAAATAACATTTGTACAATATCAAGCCAAAGAGTGGCTGCAAATGTAGGAAACTAATTGATAAAGTGTATATAACTTAAGAATAATAAATTCTATTGTAACATCTTCGACCCCCAATCGTTCCGATTACTGTTTATACTCTTACAACTTCTACCACTATGGGATTTGAATCGACAACTACATTTCTATGTTAATGTGGTATGGCAACACAAACTGATGTACGTACGTACAAAGCTCTACGTTGTGACTGACTGACTAAAATTGCATAATAATAATAATAATTTATAGATTAAAATAAAGCTTATAATAAGAAGAATATGAATATACATCGTTTAGTTACTTAATAGTTATACGATAAGAATATATGTATAGTATTATTCCATAAATAGATCCCAATAGTTACCATTCATCATTCTCATAGGGATACAACAATTACTTTCTTTTTTTTCAATAATCATATTTATCTTCATAGTTGAAAGCGTGAGTCAATTGAAGCTAGACCACCATGAAACACCTGAAAGCACAGGACGGCCGTTTCGTCCTATTATGGGACTCCTCGGCAGTGCGCATCCACGATGCCGCACTCGAGAGATTGGGACCCAGGACCAATCAGTCTCGGGCCAGAGCCCTTAACCAATAGACCACTAGTGATTGACTTCGAGAAGTACATCCAGAAGTTTTAGTGAGAAGCAGTGACCAGTGGAGTTCAAACCACGTCTGTCGTGAGATATCAACTCACTGAAAACAATTGGTGAACGGTTGCTCAACTTTGTGGATCAGTTGAAGTTAGACATTAACACCATCGGATGCCGGCTCAGTGGTCTATCGGTTAAGTGCTCTGGCACGAGACTAGTAGGTCCTGAGTTCGTACCTCACGAGTGCGGGATCGTAGGTGTGCACTGCTGAGGATTCCCATAATATGACTAAACGGCCGTCCAGTGCTTCCAGGTTTTCTATGGTGGTCTAGCTTCAATTGACTCACGCTTTCAACTATGAAAATACTGAAATCTCCACAAAACCCCTTCTTATTATTAATATTTATCTTCATTTTTTTTTGTTTTTTTTTCTGTTTAACCCCCTCCTGTATAAAACTTCTATTCAACAATCAAATCATTTCATAGAGATGATGTTATTTGTTGTGCAACTAATTTTACATCAGAACGTATGTGTCCAATATTTTCTGTATCCAATGTAAATGGTACTAATTTAGATTTATTAAAATTATTTCTTAATTTATTACCATCACGTTCGGAGCCAAGATTAAATGAATTAGCTCATTTTCAAATTGATGAAATATTTTCTGTACAAGGTGTTGGTACAGTTATCTCTGGTACATGTTTATCTGGTATAATTAAATTAAATGATATATTATTACTTGGTCCTGATTTATCTGGACAATTTAATCCGATATCAATTAAAAGTATACAACGTAAACGTTTATCAGTGAATTATGTACGTGGTGGACAAACTGCATCATTTGCATTGAAAAAACTTCGACGTAATCAAGTTCGTAAAGTAAGTAGAAATAAATAGATTTAAATTTTGTGATATATATATATATATATATATATATATATATATATATATATATATATAGGTATCATTACAGGTATGAAGGTGAAGTCGTACCCGACCGTTGGTGCTACCTTGACATGGTGGTCGGGCTATCATGATGAATCAATCGAGCTATATTGGCTAGAACAATCGTTCCTCAAGATTCTACCATGACAGACAGGTTGGTTGAAGAGCGGTAAGACTAAAAGTAGAAAACCCGAGGTCCGAAGGTGAAGTCGTACTGCTGACTGTATAGAGGTGTGACAGCAGTAAGGTGTTTCCTTCAGACAACCAGTATAACAGCGATGTTGCCTTCCTACAAGGAGGGGTGGGGTTAAAAACGATCGACTCTAAAAATGCACACCTCACCTTATCCCACAGATATCCGTCTCAGGCGGTAAGGTCCCAACAATTACAGAGCTAACACAAAAATCACCGACCTTCAGCAGTTGTCCCCTGGACACTGCAGTCACGCTCTCAGGTCATTAAAACCACTTCTAATCCAATTTCCTTTTCAGGTACCTCTAGAAGAACCCTTCCACGGTGTGAGCAACCGAGAAGTGATAACTGCCCTCATACCTCTAACAGCACTGAAGGTATCATTACTAAGGTTTGACTTGATAATTTCGAATAAATTAAGCATTGGATAGATTGTTATAAGTAAAAATAATATGTTTGTAATTTCCCAAAGAATAAAAAAAACTAAATTTTCTAACGTTTCGTGACTCAACGTAAGCCACTTCCTCAGAGAATAAATAACCAAATTAAAATTAATACAAGTTTAAATAGTACAACGGAACAACACAAGAATATTGATATTTGTTGAGGATGTTAGATCCCCTGAACTCACTTGGTAAATGCCTTATGAGCGCCAAAAACGCTCATTTTCACCTTCATGTCGTATTTCCCACTTGGGAGGATCTTAAACGCTATTGATTCGTTGTATCTTTTAGTATACTATTTTGTAATGTTTCCCAAGGATAATTTTATGCTATATATACGTTTGATTTGTGCCTGTTGTGATTGCTTGTGCTTCTGGCTGCTTGCGGAATATATTACCCACTTCAGACATGGACTCTTCATTCTAGTTAGCTGGGCTCGGACGCGTCAGAATAGTTAGCTTATTGGTCTTTGGTCAAGCAACATAAACCTTGACACACATATATAGAATGGTTCAGGTTGCTGCACTACATCCGTACAGTGAGTTGAAATTTTCAAGATAAATGACAGAGTTTTAGGATTAATAACAATATTATTAGTGGTGGAAAATAATAGCTATAGACTGCATGATCTGTAGAGAAAGAATGAACTAAAAGTGTGAGATAGTCTTAAAACTCAAGATCTAAATGATGACAAAGAGTGAGTGTATCTGCACTATTGCATTTAGTTTTTATGCGTTTGATCCAACGTCTCCAACCGTTAATTAAAATAATCGTGCGGACCCTAATCAACTAGATACAGGACCCACTCTTACAGTCAATGACTTTATGAACTGATGCTACATTTTATTCTGGGCATCCCTAGTTCATTTCTAGCCTACTTTCATAATTGGTTCATGTCATCTGTTGAGGTTGATGATTGTTGACTATAAGTAATACATGTCTCAACCACGTCAGTTGATAACGACTCACCACCTCATCAAACGATTTGCTATCCCCCACCTAGTACTCTGCGTCTAGAACTGATTATTGCCCACTCGGATGTCCCAACATATGCGACCAATGTTTCGACAGTAAATACTGGTAATCCATAAATATTCTTTATTTTTAGAGTTCATTTCACATCTATAAACTGGAGCACAGCAAACTGTTGGTCAATATACTTGTTCTTTAGTTATCAGACTAACACCTTGCCCATCCCATAAGCTATGTAACTTTTAAAAAAAGTCAACTGAACTTTCCGAATCCTTGCTGAGATTCCGTCAGATATCAACCCATCATGGTGAATACTTCCAAGATGTGTGAAGTGATTGACATACTCAAATATTTGATCCCTTACTATTGGTTCAGGCTTTGACATAGACCAGTCCTTGAAGCAATAATTAGCATTTAAAGGTAATATATTTGTTATGATACATTTAAATAATAAACTGTAATTCCATTTTCTCTACTATTATTATTACTCTAAAAGGGTATGGTATTGTTAGCACCAGAATCTAAACCAAAAGCATGTATTGAATTTATTGCTGAAGTATTAATTTTACATCATCCTACAACTATATCAGTTGGTTATCAAGCTATGGTTCATGCTGGTCCTGTACGTCAAACTGCAACAATATTAAAATTAAATTCACATGAACGTTTACGAACTGGTGATAAAGATATGGTTGTATTTCGTTTTATTAAATCTCCTGAATATTTATACACTGGTCTACGTTTAATATTTCGTGAAGGTAAAACAAAAGCTGTTGGTAAGTAAATTAGTTGATTTGAATAATTTTTTTCTGGTTAGCGTTTTTTGTTTAGCGAGTTAGTTTTCTACGGGATGGGGTCGCTAACCCCATGCTCAACCCTCCTCCTTTACTCGGGCTTGGGACCTGCAGTAGCCCTCGGAGGAGCTACAGGCGGAGTTAAGTAAATTAGTTGGTGGTTAAAAATCAAGAAAATATGTATTAATTTTTATCCCTTAGTATATATATATATATATATATATATATATATATATAACGTCGGTCTGTATCCACAATCGCGTCAGAGATTGAATCCGTGACCTTGAACCTTCATAACAAGTACTTCATCTGCAAGCCACCAAGTTTGCATTGATTCACCCATCAACTCAGCTTTATATCACACTCTAGTTATGTTAGGGATATTGATACTACTTGATTGATCAAACCAAAGTTTGTGGAATGATGTTGGAATCCACGATCTGCTAGTTGAAAGATAAGTGTTTTAACCGTTAGGCCACTACTTTACTGAGTTGGCATATAACAGCTTATATTTATGATTTTAATCAATTCATTATATTCCTTAGGAATACGATACTAGAACGAAATAGGTGCTTCTTCATTTTATACGGTTGTTTAGCTTAAGTCAGCTTATGGTGGAAAATGTATGTTAAGTAAAGTTAGTGACAGTTGCATTATACATATTTTCAAATTTGTTTACATGTGCTGTGAAAACTTCATTTACTTGAGTCTAACTTTTGGCTGAATTTTTCCCTCTATAGTCTTTAAGGGTGTTGGCAACTTAGAGTGGTTAGGTCAGTCAGTCAGCTACAACGTAGGACCAGGCATATTTATGCATCGGTCCAAGTTGCTATACCTCGTTAGCACAACAAGGTGAACACTGGATTCATAGAAGTAGTTAATTTAGTGATGGTGGTATATAAAAGATAGGTTGTATATAAGGATATAACATAGAAAGGAAGAAAGTTATCAAGCGATTTTCATCTCTCCTCTCTCTCTCTACCTCTAACAGCACTCAAGTGGTTAGGTAGTTTATTGCTGGTCAGAATGGTGATTAGCATGGGTAAAATACTCATCAGTGACTACTTTTGAAAGATGATTCTCGGAGTTTTGGTGAGAAGTTGTCGCCAGTGGAGTTTGACCATACCTAGTTTGAAATAGTTAATCACTGATGATATTGGAAAATGGTTGTGCAATATCATGAATTAGTTGGAGTCAGAAATTAGGCTAGTGTATATCATACCAGTAGGTTTTAAGTTAAGCGCTTAATACAGGACTCACAAGTCCGTGGTGACTCCAGTAATGTTTACCACCGACAGAAGTTCCATACTTGGTGAAACATCTTTACAGTCGTTTCTAGTTTTCAGTGTTTATCGAACTAGGGCCAATCCGTAGTGTAAACTAACATGGTGTCGTGGTGTGAAAGAGAGCTGTACAAGACCGGCCTCTGTTGGTCCCTCGCAATTCCTTATCTGGCATCCTAGATATGGTGAAACACAGTGGCTTCAAACATTATCAGACATGGCTTAGAATAGAAGCCAATGGTGATCCTGCTGTTAACTGTGAAAAAACCCTCATTTGTAATTTTTAAATTATTTTGTTAAGTGTTCAACTATTACACTCTCTTTCGGAAGAGGTGCTTACCGAATATTCCTTTCTCTCTCATATACACATGTCTAGTATTGTTTAACTTTTGTATTGAAACTTCTCATTACTCAACATGTTACACTTACCATTATTATTATTTTTTGGTTCTAGGTACTGTTAAGGAACTAGTTCCGTATTCTGCATCAATTCAACAAAATCCACGTGCTAAACTATATAAAAGATATGCTACTAGTAAGACAAACCAACCGATGAATAATACTGTAACGGACGAGATAAAGACGTCGAATTTAAGTAATACATCATCAATCCCTAAATCAGCCGAGCATATCAGTACTACTACCACTAATAATAATAATACTACTAGTCAACCAGATACTACTGAATTGTCTAATATTCCTGTTTCTGATTTATTAACTAGTAATAATATTAATGCCCCAGCTAATTCACGACAACGGAAACATCATTATCATCGTACACGTAAAGATATTACTGAATAGATGCGACAAAAATTTAACTCTCAGTGCGCTGCCACTGTGTCCAACAACAGATCAGCCAAATTGTAACGAATATTATCATCGACAAGTTCATTATTCATTTCTCAAGTCACAATACATTTCGTTTTTTTTCTTCTGTGTGCTTTAAAACAATCATTTTCACTTTTTCTAATGTTTTCATTGTTAAGTAATCTATACATAAAAAGTATCTTATTGTTCTTCCCTAACAATTATTATCCCTACCATATCCCACTCTTATTTCTTTATTTTTTTAAAATTAACTACTTATATATGAAAAGAGTAGTTAGTTTATTTATGCCCATTTTTGGAGAAATACATCGCACTAATGTCGAATCTTTGTTGCATTGATCAAATATTTCGGTCAGGTTGGTTACTATTCACTACCTACTTTTTCTATTCAGTACTTTGTAGGTTTTTACTTCTCTTTGTCGGGTTTTCTTCTAAGTCCCATTACGAAACACATTTTTTTTGACACGTGATAAGTATTATTATTTTTATACCGCATTGTCTTTGTAGAGAAAATTACTATTCGTTATTCCTATGGATCCAACGTGGTCACCAATCACTGTGTTTATTTTCATGACTTTTTACTCCCCCCATTTCACTGTTAAGCTCTGTTTTTTTTCTTGAAAAGAAATAAGGGATTATATTGTTATATTCCCACCTTTTACTGTTTATGTGTACATATGTAAAGAATTGAAAAGTTCTTGCATAAATACATTTCATGCAATTCATTAATGATTTCCTCTCAAATTTAACCTTGTTCATAGTCTGATAGAAGGCACTTGACAATATTTCCATACCATATTTGTGACTTATCAGTAGTGCGTACTCGTTATCTTATATGAGACTAAATACAGTATCTTTAGGTCTGGTGATAACCATTTTACTATACCATTAAGTCACTGACTCGATATCTAGTCGTTTAGAATATCAGTTTGTAATATAAGGTAGTTTTCATACGATTTCACTAGCTATATATCTCGTTTTCGACATAGTAAAACTAGATCAGTCACAACGACTTCTCACTGGGATGTCAGGGGGTTCATCACAAAGTTATTCATTAGTTAGTGAACAATTATGATCGTTTACTTAAGTGTGGGTTCGTGAAGTTTTTTTCACGGATCCTAATCCATAATGTCTACTAACTTTTCCTTTTACGTAAACGCTATTCAATATAATAAATTCGCTTGAAAAAAAGAAATTTTAGTGAACTAAAATGATTCATTATTATTGTGTATTAGAGGGATTTTGTGAGGATCAGTTCAATTTGTATGTTGTTTTCGTCACGGATTAATCTTAGTTGGGGTATGATTGATAGATAACGAGGGAACACTTGTTATATGTTTTATTCCAGTATGACACCCCTCAACAGTGCTTACCCACAACCTTTCAGTCAGTACACTAGAAGAATAAATGAACGGCGGTGACTGTATTTTATTATTGTTTTCAACTAAGAGCAGCAATAATTAAGTCTAGGAAATTGACACATTGGTTCGTGTATAATTATCCTCTCGGTGTAGTTTATATAAATATCCATATGAATAGCTTTATTCTGTGTAATATGCACATTTTCGTTCCAAATTTAATCCTCACAGAGTTTCTTCAGTAAGTACAGAATATCTTTCCACGATAAATAACAATGTAAACGATCTTTAAGACCTGCCACAGTAACGTCATATTAATCCATTGTTCAACAGACCTGTTAAATGTTTGACAGTGATTGCAACTTCTGGTAACGTTCAAATCTTCATCATTACACAAACTCAAAAGTTCCTACTAACTGATTAATTCAATATCCTTTATAATAATGACTTATATAAGTAGTGGATTAATCATACTAATATCGAAAAAAAAAGTATTGTTGGGGTGTTCAGAATGTCATTCTTAAATGAAGTTTTATAAGATAATGAACTCTATTCACTAGACTTAATTGCACTGAGTACCAAGTCAAAAGCAATCTGAACATATGCCTAAAGAGAATGATCAATAGCAATCTCAAACAGCATCAGGAAGATTCAAACAGTCAATTCGAATGAATTAAAATTCATCCTATTACACAAACTTGTGGTTATTTGGACTCAGTAGCTAAGTGAATAACGTGATAGTGCTTGAAACGAATGGTACTAGGTTTAAGTCCCTAAGTGAATATCAACTCTTATATGCAGTTACATTCAGCCGATGAATCTCAAATAAGACGAAATGCAAAACTGCTAGCCATCATTCATTCCGACTTAAAAAAAAGTCAAAATATTTGGTAGTGAATTGTTTTTCGATTGTTAATAACGATTGTAACTTTCGTTACTTCAATAGGATTATAATAATGATTATTGTTTATTATATACTTTGCTTAGAAAGTTAAAGTGTTACCGACTAGAGAATGTACATTCACATATAATAAATGATTACACTGTCAAAATCATTATAAATCAATAGTACTTCATAATAGAACTAATTAAAGTTTAGTTAATTCTAGAAAGTTTATTAATTTGCCAAGACTTATTATCCATTCTCTTGTCTTGATTTTATAGAAGTATCATTGCATAATCTCATTAATCAAAATAAAAATATATACACTTTTAATGTCCTGAGTTCGAATCTGAAGTGATGGGATCGTGAATAAGCACTGCTAAGTAATCCTACAATAAGACGAAACGGCTATCCAGTGCTTCCAGATTTTCTGTTATTATCTAGATTTAATGGATTTATGCTTTGAACTATACAAAATTTACTAAAATCTCCACAAACCCCCCCCCTTTCTGATAAAAAAAGAAGTTATAATTTGAATAAAATCTACATTAGAAAAATCAACTATTTTGAGATTACTCTTAGCCCATACACTGTTACAATAGTATCCAAGATGGTCATTTGAATTTTACATGGAAACTAGTATGTAATTAATTCAACCTCTAATATAGTTTAATCTGAAACACTTTTAATTGTACTAATATCTTCTCTTGAATATCTTCATAAATGTAATCAGGTGAACTTATTTTAAATTTCTAAACAATCAGTTAATTAATTAAAGGTATGTAGGATTTTAATCAACGGTTCATTACTTTCTGATATCAAATTTCTAGATTTAAAAATATGTGATCATAGACATATTGTGATGTGGGCTACTTATAACCACATAAATAGTATATGGTAATGGGCAGGCATAGAATGAATTTTGGCAGAAGATCGATAAGTTAAGAACTGAATCGAAGCTCAATCGGTAGGAAAATGCATAAACAATGAAATTAGAAAAGATGGATTGATATTTACAGAAGGAACTTATTATTATTTAAACACATAAATATTGGTACAAGGAAGCACTAGATATATATGCGCCACACAAATCTTATTTGATTTGTGTGTAGGCTGTTATACTGCACAGGTGCCCAAACTGAAGCAGATGGTCACATCCGGAGCCTTTGACCTGAACGTCTGATCCACAAAGCAGTGGAGCAACGTAAGGAGATGCAGTCTCATGGTAGCCGGTTACCAACAATTGATTCATACGCCATTTGTTCCATCAGGATACTGGAGCCCATGTTCATCATTGGTTTGGAATCAGGGTTTTCCAACTCCTATAGGTGGACTTTCCGTGTCCACCGACACTAATAAATCGCCGGACATTCGCTTTTCGTCCTCTCACTTTCGTAAACAACACTGGTGCCACTGTGAGAAAGCAGTACTTTCCTGGCAGAGGCTATAAACGCGTGTCCATATGAGAGCATTTGGGAGTTACAGAAGGAACAGTGAAGATTGAGACAATCGATCGATAGATTGCAAATTAACTGTTTACTACTGTATAGTTATCAGATTTTAGTGAGATAGTCTGTAATTTATGCATAAATACATTCGATTGTCCCATTCTTGTTCACAACAATATAAATCAATACAGACGATATAAATATTGAAATGACTATGGGAATCTACAGTTATAATTAATCAATAATCAGTATTTAACATCAGAGATAGATGGTGGCTAGTAGTAGAATTCAGAACGCGCGTGTCACCCCATTTTGGACTCGTCAGCTTATGATTTGAGGCAATATCGAAGTAATCCGTATAGGATCCATATATGCCTATAAGTGACTGATCAATCGAAGTCCTAAACATCTATGGAAAGATTCAAACAACCAATACAAAATGAATTAATAATTTAATTGGGTTCCTAACATTAGAAAGGTCATACAGAACGATAGTTTATTGACTTAAATGCTATCAACTTTTAACTAGTAAGTTACAAGTTGTAACACAGTTCTTCATATTTCCGTTTCAGGAACTGGATAGTACTATTAACACTGATAACATATAATCAGTTAAGCAATCTTCAACCAATTAACGTCAAACAGTAATGTATATTATATAAAATCACTTAGATTAGTGACTACATTGCAATTGATTGATAGAATCCAGTCAGTAGTAGTCTAGCTTCAATTGACTTATGATTTCAACGATGAAAATACTAAATTCTCCACAAAACCCCTTCTGATCTATAATCATATGCTCACTAGTGACTGACTTCAAGAGATATTTCCTGGAGTTCTAGTGGGAAGCAGTGACCAATGAAGTTCAACCAAGTCTGTTGTGAGATAACAACTCATTGAAGACAGTTGGTGAATGGTTGCTCAAAATCGTGGATTGGTTGAAGTTAGACATTAACACCGTTGTATGCCGGCCGACTCAGTGGTCCATCGGTCAGGTGCTCTGGCTCAAGACTGATAGGTCCTGGGTTCGAATCTCGCAAGTGCGGGATCGTGGATGCGCACTGCCACTGGGGAGTCCCATAATAGGACCAAACGGCCGTCCAGAGCTCTCAAGTTTTCCCTGGTGGTCTAGCTTCAATTGACTCATGATTTCAACTGTGAAAATACTAAATTCTCCACAAAACCCCTTCTGAATCATGATATTGATCACTCATTACTGAGTGATTGATCATCTTGACTTAGTAACTGGTTTAGTCACCTTGTCTAGTCTTTATTAATGACCATATTTGTAATAGGGTCACCAATCTGTTTGATTTATTCAACTTATTGTGTGCTATATAGTGTTAGTCATAGTTGGAAGCTGTTTGTATGGAACTCCAGATCAACATTTCGTGATTTTTAAAACAAAAATTGTACTACAGTTTTAAAGAAAATTTAAACTTAACATTTATTACTACAACAAAAAACACATCGTTGTATTGTAATGAACAAGAACACAGATTGGGGACAATCGAATGTATTTGAACACAAACTTATATAATCGCTTAGTAAAATCTGAGAATCATACTTACTTACACCTGTTACCCCCAATAGAGCATAGGTCGCCGACCATCATTCTCAAATCCACTCTGTCATTGGCCTTCCTTTCTAGTTCTATCAAACTTTTTTTCATCCTTCAAATGTCTGTCTCCATTTCTCGGTGCAATGTGTTCTTTAATCTTTCTCTTCTCCTTTGACCTTCAGGATTCCGTTTGACGGCTTGCCTTGTGACTCAATTGCGTGATTGCGAATCATGCAGTAAATACTTAATTTGCAAATTATTAATCAATTGTTTCAAACTTGACTGCTCTTTTCAAAAATATCAACCAATCGTCTCAGACTTTATTATTCTTTCGTTTTCACAGTAATCATTCTTTTTTCTTGTTCTCTTTTCTTTGATCTTCTCAACTTTCTACCTCCAAACACTTCACTTTCTACTTATGATATATACTACTAATATCTGTCGATATCAGTAGCACACATGACACTATGACCATCAAATTTCAGTGAATGTAACCCCATTAAAATCATTCATTTCAAGTAGAAATATTCCAACATTTCAAAATAACCAATGATGATGATGATGATGATGATGATGATGATGATGATGATGATGATGATGATGATGATGATGATGATGATGATGATGATGATGATGATGATGATGATGATGATGATGATGATGATGATGATGATGATGATGATGAT